GCTTGACACAATGCATTGTGATAAGAGCTGTATGAGCCCCCAATAAAATGATTAAAAAAAATAAAAAACACACCCATTTGTTGTTACATGATGACCATTGTATGTGCCACGCATTTTTAGTGTAGTCGACCTGGTGGGAGTTGAGACCATAGACGTAGATGCAAGCATTTCGATGCCTAGCAGATGTTATGCAGCACAGCTCCCTGTATGCTTGAGTCTCACCAGTCTGTCAGTAATGCCCAGCATCCAAAACAAGCTCCCATGTTGCATTTAGTTGCTATTGTGGGAGAAAAGAGGGACCCCAACAAATTATCATGGGTCCAGCAGGCGCAATTGTACAGTGATAATAAGTAAAGATTATAGTAAAGTCATAGAGAGCATGAGAGATAGAAAAGAGATTGAAGTAATGGAGTCAGACATAATTCATGGTAGCATGCTCACCTCAGCCCCGCTTGGTCCTCCTGGGGAGACCCGAGAGCGAGAGCAGGAGAGGCCAACTTTATTGTGAACCAAGGGTTATAGCTACTTAGTGGGCATGATTACAGGTAACAACACGTCACAGGAAGGGGCAGTACATAAGTATACACATCATAGGAAGGGGATGAGCTAGGGGTGTGCACATAGGAATGGGAGGGACAAGATGGGTGGACCCTAGATTCATGATGGCGGCCTAATCTTGGTCACCCTTGGGTGGGCTTGACCTCTCAGGGGTCTCCTACAAGGAAACAGACAAATACTATCCTTATCAGAAGGGAGTGGGTCCTACTTGTTGTGGGATAAACAGTGGTGACTGCTTGCTCTAGATGGCTGATAACCCTTAGGGAGAATATCTGTGATCTACTTCTGTTGGCCTCCAAGTGTATAGTCACCTGCCACGTGGAGCCAGCAGCTAAGTTTGGCATATATTTGGGGAAGACAACTTGGGAGAAATCTTTGTTTCCCACATGCTGTGATTCTTTTTCTCAGTTACCAATTGCTCCTCAGTCAGCTCTAACTCATGGCAGCTCCATGTGTGTAGAACTGCGCTCAGTAGGAGTTTTAAAAAACAATTTTGTTGTTGCTGAGAATATGCCCAGTGAAAAAGTACACCAGCCAATTCTCGGTTTCTGCATGGACAGTTCAGTGATACTGATGCAGCCTTCAGGTAGTGCAGCCATCCCTGCCCTCCCCTTCTGAGTCGAACCTGCCATGAACACAAGCTCACTGCCCCCAGAGTGCCTAGGGAATCTTCCTGTTGAGTTGCTAATGTTAATTTCATCCCACATAGATAGAACTTAAAATGAGTACAGTGCTCAAGAATTCTCTCTTAACTGGGCAAGCTAAACATTTCTTTTTAATCATTTTATTGGGGACTTATAGCATTCCATACATCAATTGTTTTAAGCATATTTGTACATATGCTACCATCATTGTGTTAGTATGTGGTGACTAGAGAAACAAATTTATAGACACTCATATGTATAAGGAAGAGCTGTATATAAAAGAATAATTATATATTAAGAAAACATCCCAGCCCAGTCCGGATCAAGTCCTTAAATGTGATATTAGCCGATATGTCCGATACCAGTCTTGTAAATTCCTCTTCAGACTCAAACGCAATACATACAATGACACCAAGTGCAGGAAGATGTCTTGTGGATCCAGTGGTGGTGGAAGCATCTTAGTGGTGGCGTGGGTCTCCACGTGGCTCCGCCAGCTCCAAGGCTCTGGCTGCCATCAGCATAGCTCCATGTGTCTTGTCAGCAGGAGTGTCTCACCAAGAGATGAAGCAGAGAGAGGGAGGAAGGTAGAAGTTCCCAGAATCCTCAGGAGAAGGCCAGGCCCACACAGAGGCCTCATTAGCTGTGACCTGATTGCCAGGCAAGTAGACAGGAGATTATGTTATCTGCAACAGTCATCATTTTCTAAACATTTACTTTCTATTTGAGCCCTTGGGATGAGCTCCTCTTTTTTCCCACCCACTCCCACCCTCATGACCCCTTGATAAATTATAAATTATTATTGTTTTCATATTTGGCACTGACTGCTGTTTCCCTTCACACACATTTCTGTTGTTTATCCCCCTGGAATGTGGGGATTATGTCCCAATTATTGTGATCGGTTACCCCTTCCTCCTCATTGCTTGTTTTTAAGACTTCAGGGGATATTTTTAAGCTTGAAAGATGATCTCAGACCAACCACCTTCGTAGGGTCATGTCCTAAATAAATCTTCAAGATGTGTGCTCATCTGTTTAAAAAGTTATTTTTTTCTCTGAATATCAGTTTCAGCATTTCCATTCTGATTTTGCTGCCACAGTAACAACTGATAGGACCAGTGTGTCAGGAGCTTTATTAAAGAGAGGTGTGGCCCAGATGGTTGATGGTGAAGTAATGTTAAATTCTGCCCACAAATAGAGCCTCTTCTCAGAATGATGATGTCATTTGGAATAATACAACCAATGTGTATAGTTGAAACTGCTTTCTTTAAAAGTTAAAAATGGCCAACTTTTCATTATAAGAAGTTTTAAACCAATATGAAAATAGAATAGCATGATTACCCCATGTTTTTAGTAGTTTCAGTAATGACTGTCTCATATCTAACCTTGTTTTACTGAAGCCTGTGCCCACTTTATCCTCGCATGTGACTGTGGAGAAACTCTTGGACAGTGTGTCATTTCAGCCTTAAATTTTAAAGCTATTCTAAGATTCTGTGCATGTCCCTGTGGATTTACTGAACTACTGTGACATGCAAACGTAGTTTTCCATGGTCACTATCTACAACTAGACACAGGTACTCAGTGTGAAGCCAGCAGCCAGTCCACAGGAGAAAGAGGTGACAGATACAGTCTTCCGGACCACAGTCTGTAAATTAGCACAACATAGTCCACAAAGACAATGTTGTACTTCCGACTTTGAGGAGTAGTGACGAGGGACATACAGCTTATGACACGTGAAAAATATTTAGTCCAGTGGACCACACAAGCACCAGTCCCACGACCCAGAGACCAGAAGAACTAGTTGGTGCCCAGCTACCACTAGCAGTTGCTCTGATAAGGAGCACATTAGAAGGTCCTGGATAGAGTTGGAGGAAACTGTGGGACCGACTAACAAAAAAGACCAGGCTTATTGGTTGGATGGAGACTGGGGGAACTTCCACGACGATGATCCTCAGTACCCTTCAGCACTCAGGTTGGTCGAATCACCAACCATTTACCATCAAAAGGGCAGCCTTTTGCCCGGGGATGTAGTTCGGGGGTTAGGAAAGGAAGGGGAAAGGAGACAGGCGACACTGGGAGGGAGTGGCAGAAGTGATGGGACCTTGAAAGGACTGAAACCCGTGAGTCGAGATGAAATGTGCCATAGTTGTTGAATGTAAGACTGGTAACTGCTCTGTAAATCTCCGCCCAGTCACAGTGACAGGAGGGGAGAGGAGAGAGTCCACCTGCTGGAAAGTCCGGAGTGCAGGTCAGCTCTGCCCTGCAGGTGCTGGGAGTCAGAATGGACATGGCAGCTGTGGGTTGGGCTTGGCTTGCTTTATGGGAAATTCATGGAAAATGGAATTAGAGGACACTGACATTTTCCTCTTTATACATAGATATGTTCTCCCCACTGCCATATAAAATAGCTGGTGTCGGATTTGCATTTTGCTTTTTTTTAATGCTTTTTGGGGAGCTCTTACATCTCATCACAATCCATCCATTCCTCCAGTGTGTCAAGCACATTTGCACATATGCTGCCATTATCATTTTCAAAGCATTCTCTTCCTACCTGAGCCCTGGTAGCTGCTTCCTGCTTTTTTTTTAACCGAGCAATATATCCTGGAACTTCCTTTTCGGTATAGTTGAAAGGACCCTCATCCCAGGTTTACTCATCTATGAATCCTGAGACAGCAAAGGAAATTCCAGTATATTCTCTTCCTGGGCTGACATCATTATTACTGGCGTGAGATATATCACAATCATACTTTGTGAAATAATGGATCTTTTGTGAATGGAGAAAGTTTCAGAATGCAGACGTCACCCATAGATTCTGTGTTTAGGTGCAGTACATTGTGGGATGGGGAGCCCTGGTAGCAAAGTGGGTTACACACTGGGCTGCTAACTACAAGGTCAGCAGTTTGATACCACCAGCTGCTCCCTGGGAGAAAGAGGAGGCTTTCTACTCCCATAAACAAGTACAGTCTTGGAAAGCCAGAGGTAGGTAGTTCTACTCTGTCCTAAGGGAGGGTCATTGAGGTGTGTGGGAATCACCTCAATGGCAGTTAATGGATTTTTGCATTTCAAAATATACATCATAATATATGGAGTGTCTCATAATTGCCTGATTACTTATATTTAGCATTTATATGAGGTAATGGAATTTTTCCACAGACTTTTTGAAGCTGCCTCGCTTTCATGCATGTATGTGCCTTGAATGTATTTGAAATAGTGCATCAAGTCAGCGTTCTGCTTAGCGTATCCAGTTCCATGTGGTACAAGCTTTGAGTAACTGACATACGTTTGTCTCTCTTTCAGATTTAATGTACCCGCACCCAAATGCCTCTGCAGAAAAAGCCAGAAATGTCCTAGCTGTGGAAACTGCCCCCGGCGAGCTGGTGGGAGAAGAGGCTGCAAGCCAGCCGGCCCCTGGGCACCCCACTTCCATTAACTTCTCATTGAAGCAGTGGGGCACTGAGCTCAAGTGAGTTGGGAGAACCGGCCTCGGGACTAGAAATGCACGGTCTCCGTTGCTGTCCGTTATGATTGTGTCTGTGGAATGTGTGGAGTGACCGTGGTCCGGCTGGGAAGGGCTGTGCTGTCCACAGCACACTGTCTCAGGCAGCGTGGCTGTACTCTGCCAGAGTGCCTGATGCCGTACCACCCACCCGTTCACAGTGAGGGCTTCGTTAATTGCTCCACTTGGTGAGGTGGGTCATGTGGGTGTCATTTGCAGAGGTAGGAGCTGGCTCAGGGCTAGTGCTGGCCTAAGGTGGGAGGGGGGGTGGCAGGGCACCAGGCTCCTGGGGGCCAGCCCCAGGCCAGGCCAGCAGAGCCCACCACCAGGTGTCCATTGTCGTCCTCCATAGTGCCTGTGGCCTGTGGAAAGTGGAGGTGCCATTTCTGTTGTGGGGTTTTGTTTTAAGTAAAAGCTTTACAATTCGTACGTGAACTGTACTAAAGTGTACAGTTCAATCGTTTTCATCTGTTTGGAGAGCTGTGTAACCACTGCCACAATCACTTTTAGAACATTTTCTTCACCCCAGAAAGCAACCTGTACCATGAGCAATCACTCCCCAGTCTCACCTCCTCTGTCCCCAGGCCCTGGCAGCCACTAGCATACGTCCCGTCTCTGTGGATTTGCCTGGTCTGGGCATTTCATATCATTGGAATCAGACCACGTGTGTCTGTGTGGCTTCTTTCACTCGGCATGGCCTGTGGAGCGAGCTCTCTGGAGTCACGTGCATCAGTACTTCATTCTTATTGCCGAGTATATGTCACTGCCTGGCTGTACCACATCATATTATCTATTCATTCGTTGGGGGCTCTTAGTCCCCCTTTTATTTAGCAGTTACGAATCGTGGGCTGTGAGCATCCGTGTACAGGTTTTGCCGAGGCCGCTTTCAGTTTGCTTGGGGACGTACCAGGAGTGGAAATGCAGGGTGATGCTGCTGAACTGCGGGAGGGACTGCCCGACTGTTCTCCAGAGCGGCCACACCTCCCGACTCCCCACCAGCAGTGGCCGAGGGCTCCCGTGTCTCTGCATTCTGCTGACATTCCTACTGCCTGCCTTTGTCACTAGAGCCATCCTGGCGGGCACGAATCGGCTCCTCGTTGGCTTCTGAGTTGCGTTGCCCTGGGCGGCTGGTGGTGTAGAGCCTCTTCTCTTGTGTTCATTGGACAGCGCAGATCTTTGGAGAGATTTCTATTCAGATCCTCGGCACTTCTCTGGTCGGCTTATCTTTATGGTAGGGAGCTGTAGGAGTTCTTTTGGTGGAGATAATTTAACCCCCTTTGGTAGTCAGACTCTCGGGAGCCTCGGCTTACACTAGAAGATGAGCATTTGTAGAGGGCTTGTAGAGGTGACACTTGGTGGGACACTTGGAGACTGTCCCTCGAGGCCCCAGCCATGATTGTCGTCCCTCCGTGGGGCCCTACTGGTGTTTTGGAGGCAGGGGTAGTTGCACTAGTAGCTGCCATCCCAAAAGATGCAGTGTTTCAGAAAATAGCTTCTTCAGCCTCCCTCATTTGTGGTTGAATTAAGTATGAAAATGAAGTTTATTCTGAAGTTTAGTTCTTAAGATAAAAGTGTCAGGTCTTTAAATTCGAAAGGGAAATAGTAGCGAACCTGAATAGCAGGTGACAGGGTGCCCAGAGCTCAGATGATCAATGTTTATCTTCTGAGGGCGATTCTTGCACCTGCAGCAGCTGGGCTGTGCTCGTCCGTCCACTGCCAAGTCAATTCCTGCTCATAGCGTATAGACAGGGTAGAACTGCCCCTGTGGGTTTCTGAGATGGCTGGTGGTTTCGAATTGCTGACCTTGTGGTTAGCAGCCCAGTACATAACCACTATGCCACCAGGGCTCCTTGTGTTGTGCTGAGCCTCTGACAAGACTTCGTCTTGCGTCATCTGGACATGCTCTCAGGAGGGACCAGCCCCCTGGAGAAGGCCACCATGCTTGGGAAAGTAGAGGGGCAGTGAAGAAGGGGAAGGCCTTCCATGAGAGGAATTGACCCGGTGCCTGCAACAGGGGTGCACACATACCACTAACTGTGAGCAGGAGGGCACAGGACCGGGCACTGTTTTGTTGTGTTGTGCATGGGTTGCTGTGAGGGGTAGGCCACTGGGCAGCACCCAACAACCGCAGCAGCAGCACAGTGGTCGAGGGCCCGACAGTTCAGTTCCCATAGGTGGCACTTGCTAGCTGGGTAAGCTGGGCACTAATTTAACTCTGGGCTTCAGTTCCTCACTTGTAAATGGGGATGACTGTGGGTCATGAGATTAACGTAAGGAGGATCCGTTCATGTGTATATGTGTAGAACAGTGCCTGGATGAGGGTCAGTGGATGTGGACGTGGAGGTGGAGGTGGAGGAAGAGGGGCCGGGGAGGAGGAGGCGAAGGCGGCACGGCTCCGCTGCATCTGACAAAGCCTTCCTCCACCTGGACCATCGGCCACTTTCTCAAAACCCTGATGCTATTGGCAGTTGGTTCTTATGGTTGTTTGCATTTTTACTTAGGGCAGAGTTTTTGCAGGTTTCAGTAAAGTACTTTGGATGCAGAGACTTTACTGACCATAGACATAGTATTTTATTTCTGTATTATAAATTAATGGTTCAGTAGTTTTTTTATGCCTTCAAATGGTACCAAAATTAAGAATGTAGTTAGGGCTTAAAGGGCTAATTTAGTGTTCTCTGCCATGGTTTTATCATTGGCCAGTACCGTTGTTGTCCTCTTAGCCAGCTTCCACTTCATCAGTTCTGTCTACCTGACATCTTCCATTCATTCCCTCGGAGCCATGGTCTGCAGGGTCTCTATTTTGCCGGCCTGCGGTGGCCACGCCTGTGCCTCCACCAGCAGCTGCCACATACTTGCCAAGAGTCA